CCCCCCAGCTCTGACATTCTCTGTTCTAAGGGTCCTCCCAGCTCTGACAGTCTGTGTTCTGAGGGCCCTCCCAGCTCTGACATTCTGTGTTCTAAGGGCCCTCCCAGCTCTGACATTCTGTGTCCTAAGGCTTTTCCCAGCTCTGAAATTCTGGGTTCTAAGGGTCCTCCCAGCTCTTACATTCTCTGTTCTAAGGGTCCTCCCAGCTCTGACATTCTGTGTTCTAATGGTCCTCCCAGCTCTGACATTCTGTGTTCTAAGGCCCCTCCCAGCTCTGACATCCTGTGTTCTAGGGTCCCTCCGAGCTCTGACATTTGGGGTTCAAAGGGTCTTCTTAGCCCTGGCAGTCTCTGTTTTAAACTCCCCCTTGCCTCTGACATTCTGTGATTTCCTCTGGTCCATTGGCCTCAGCAGGGATACTTATGCCCTCTGTCAGAGAACTGTGCGCTAGCAGGGGCTGTTGCCCAGGCATCCTATGGACTGAATCCCCATCTTGTCTCCTTGTCCATCTTGCTGTGACATCTTCAAGAAAAGTACCATTCTGTACCTCTGAGTTTGGGGATAAGGGTAAAGGGTGTCAGGGGTCTTATGGAAACATAAGAGTAAGCAGTCATGTCATTGGAGGGCTAAGAAATTGAAGATTTCCTTGAATTAGGATCTATTATGGACACAATACTTGCAATGTTCTACCCTCGGAAGGCAAAGATGGGAAATGACATAGGCCCTGAGCTTATGGTCTAATAGGAGGAATCATTGCCTCTAAGACTGAAACTCTGAGGCCATGGGGACTAATTGGTACCCGAACAATAATCCAGCCCTTTGCTGGAAGCCCTCAACTGAGGGCCAGGCAATGCATAGCGAGGGGAGGCAGCAAGCATTTATTAAGTGCTGACTGTATGCCAGGCACTGTGCTAAGTGCTTGGGCTGCAAATACAAGAAAAAACAAAGACCTCAAGGGGCTTACACTCTAATGAGGGAATGCAAGACACAAAGAGGGAATTGAAAAGTGGGGGGAAGGGTGGAGAAAGGAGGAAAGTATCCACTGTAGGGGCAGAAGCAAAGCCAGGAAGGTAATAAGGATTGGCCTGGGCATCTCTTCAAAATGGAGGCTGGAGAGAAGAGGGGGCCAACAAGGCAAAGGGATGTCCTAAGGTGAGAAGGTTGAAAAGCACCCATGAGTGTTCTGAGTGAGGAGGCCCCAGATGTCGAAGCATCATTGGCAAAGTCTAAAAAGCCAGAAGCCAAGTGAGGAGGGGGAAAAAGAAGGGCAGAAAGAGAAGGGAGGGCACCCATGACCTCCCAAGGCTGTGCATTCCTCTTTGGAACAGCTCAGTTTTGTTCCCTTATGTCAAACCTGAGTCATCTTCTCTAGAATTTCTACTCATTGTGCCTAGCTCTTCCCTCTGGAGCTATTCTGCTGGTCTCTGTATCCCCAGCACTTAGTGTGGTCTCTGGCACCTAGAAAACTTGTTGACTTAAACAGGATAAACCTAACCCCACTTCAATGCCATTGTTGGATGTTTACTGGAAAGCAGTCACCCCCCCCCAAAAAAAAACCAAAAACGTCCTGGCACCATTGACTCCTAGTGAGGTCATAGCTCTTCACTACCCCCTATCTCTTTTCAGATAAACTTCTATTAATGTTTTACTTGGGAAGATGATTTTTGGAACCCAAATGCAGCATTTTACATTTATTCCTCCTGCCTTTTGTCATAGGGCATTTGGGCTAATATTCAGTACTGCCTGGATCCTTTTGGAACCCCCATTCTGTTATCTAGTTTATTAGTTTGTGGAGTTTGGGTCTTTGATAAGCAAGCCATCTATGCATGGTTCCTGGTACATAATAGGCACTTAGTAAATGTTCATTGATTAATAGATTGATTGATTGGAGTCACTGACCTGTGATCAGGACAGAGGAGAGCTCTGTATAAAAGTGCTATAGGAAAATCTGATGAGCAAGAGGTCTCCAGGAAGGCTTTATAGAGGAGGTGGTACCTGAGCTGGGTTCTCATGAGGCTGGTGCTTGTTAAGGTTTTGTTAGATCCCCTTCCCCAGCTGAGGTGTCTCCCATATGGCAGATTTTGATGAAAAGAGGGCAGCTTGATGGTGGTAATGGAGAGAGGAGGAATTCCGCCTGTGGTTCTTACAACTCAGCATCATAATTGATATGCCTGACATATGAGAATTTAGATTAGACCTTGCATGGCAGCATTTAATTTGATTAATGATTTATCACTTTAATTGAGAGTTTTACTGAGAGATTATTCACTACGGGTAAGACGAAGGTTCCCAGACATTCTGAGGCCCAGAATTGCTTTGGGGGAGGAAGGGTGGTAGAGGGGGAGGAAAAACCTGGGTCTGAGTTTCATCTCAAGCTCAGTCTGTGTAACCATCTGGCAGCCACCTCCCCTCAATAAGCCTTAGCCCATTTTCCTGTAAAAGAGGAAAGGGGACTTGCGAAGGAGATATCTACTCCGCCTTCATTATTTTACAGTTGGGGTAACAGGGACCCACAGAAGTGAAGTGACTTGTCCAAAGACACAGAGGTAGTTAAGAGTACTGGGATTTGAACTCAGGGCTTTGGCTCCGGAGCCATGGTACAATTTTGCTACTTCGCTGGAAGTAGCTGGAAGTGTTGTTCTAAGGATCAAGTGACAGAAGGCATGAAAAACATTTGGAAAACTCTAAACTTCAGTCCTTGTTGGGATTATTGTCTCCTGGCCCTGGGTGTGGGCTGTTTCCTTTTCTGCCCATTGTGACCCCTGAGGAGGGCAAATCAAATGGGTCTCCCCAAGTCCCAGCCCAGGCGGTCTGCTATAAGAGTTTGGCACTAGAAGCCTTGGCTTCAAATCCTGACTCTGTTCCTTGCCAGCTGTGTGATGATTTACAAATTGCTTCCCTTCTCTGGATCTCAAAGGCTAATGTATAAAGTGAGGGTTGATCTCCAGGCAGAGAACAAGTGTAGATCTCCTTGTAGGAACGTGCCAGACACCTGTCTAGAAGGAAAAGTAGAGGCTGAGGGTTGGCCAGGGCCGTGGGCAGCTGGTAGGGGTGCAAGGCAAAACATGAGGTGCCTTCGTTGGCTCTGGGGGAGCTGAGTGACGTTTACGTTTTCTTCCTCCTCCTTCCTGGGTTCTATGGGAGAAGCTTCGAACCCCCCCTCCCCACAGAGGCCCACAACAGCCCATCCTGTACCATAATCAGTGCCCAGGTGCCATGGGGCAGACAGGTAGAGGAGACAATTCCTACTCTCTGTGAGCTGCCAGTGGGGGAGGGGAGGAGGAGATAAAGCCCATGCCCTCAAGACGTTCCCAGTCTGGGGGGAGGAAGGTACATTCCCTGCCCTTTGAAAGCTTCCAATCTGAGGGAGGAGGCATACTCCCAGCCGTCCCAGAGCCTCTGGTCCGATGGGCAGGAACCATCCCCACCCTGGGGTTACTTCTCACCACCACAGTGGAGCATAAGGCCCCCAGAGCATTTGGCCTCTGTGGGTGGGCCTGCCCTGGAGCAGACAACAGCCTCTTCTTGGCTAGCTGCTCACCTGCTTCCCTTCTTCCAGGGAACCAAATATTGCTCCCATTCCCCACGGTCCTCTCCCCTCCTTTCCTAGTGTTCCCCCCTCCCTGCCACCCATATGTCTCCCTAGTGCACCATCAGTGCTGTCTCAGCAAAGCAATTTTGTTGGACATCTTGAGATCTTGTCCTCTGGGGCTCTGCATCCTGATGGGGTGTGAGTGCTGAGTTCGTTCGTTTCCCTCCGCCTGAGGCTGCTGGGGGTGGGGAGGGAGGATGGCAGACTGCCGGCTTCTTCTCTTCTTGGATTGCCCCCTATCTTCCAGACCTTCATCTGAGCAGGGAATGCAGGGATGGTTTAGTCAGAGAGTGGGGGTGTCAGAGTGGTGGGAGGAAGAGGAAGGGGGTGGTAGTGTTGGTCATCTCCTTTTCCTAGGAGCCATTGTCCTGGCCACAGGTGTGTTCCCCTGGGCCAGGTCTGTCAGTCCTGGTCCTGAGGGGGGAGCACAGGCTGTCTCCGGCTGCTTGGGTCTGGTCACCCTCTCCTGACGTTTGACACCTTCCCTGTGTGTTACAGCAAAGCTTTGAGGCGCACCAGGATGAGGCAGCCAGCGTGACGCATATGGTGAAGGCGGGCAGTGGGGTTTGGATGGCCTTTTCCTTGGGAGCTTCCATTCGCCTCTTCCACACGGAGACTCTTGAGCACCTCCAGGAAATCAACATTGCCACACGGACCACCTTCCTCATGCCAGGTAAGCTAAGGCTTAGAGCCCTACAGGTATAGTGTGTCTGTGGAGACATGTCTCGGCTGCTAAGATCTTGTCTCTCCAGCTTCCTCATTTGTCTGATAAGAAGGTTAGATAAGGTATATAAGATCCTTCTAACCTCTGACATTCTGGGTTCTAAGGATCCTTCCAGCTCTGTCATTCTGTGTTCTAAGGTTCCTCCCAGCTCTGACATTCTATATTCTAAGGACCTTCCCAGCTC